TCATTTTTTTGAGGAGGTCTGAACCCATTCCCATGACATCTCCAAGGTCTGCCTGTAATAGGTCTTAAAATCAGACTGATTCAACCCACTTGATCTTCTTTTTTTAAATTGCTTTAGCTATTCTAGTTCCTTTGCATTTCCATATAAAAGTTAGAATAATTGTGTCTATTTCTACAAAAATCTTGCTGGAGTTTTGATAGGAATTATGTTAAACCATATATCAGTTTGGGGAGAATTGACATCTTTACCATGTGAAGTCTTCCAAACCATGAGTATGGTATGTCTCTTCATTTATTTAGATTTTTATTTCTTTCTTTCATCAGTGTTTTGTAGTTTTCAGCATACAGCTTATGTGTATGTTCTGTTATATTTACACCTAAGTTTTTGGTTTTGGGGTTTTTTTTTTAGTGTTTATACGGTGGTATTGTGATTTTAATTTCAGTGTCTACAGGGTCATTGCTAATATATGTAAATACAATCAATTTTGTATATATATCTTGTATCCTGTGACCTTGATGAACTCCTTTTTTAGTTCTAGGAGGGTTTTTTGTAAATGCCTTAGAATTTTGTATATACAATCATGTAATTAGCAAACAGAGACAGTTTTATTTCTTCCTTTCTGATCTGCTTTCCTTTTCTTGCCTGGTTGCACCGGCTAGAACTTCTAGCACAGTGTTTAATGAGCAGAGTGAGAGCGGACATCCCTGTCTTGTCACAGTTTAAGCAAGAAGCTTTCAGTCTTTCACCATGAAGTGTAATGTGAGCTGTAGTTTTCTGGTAGGTGTTCTTTATCCACTTGAAGAAGTTCTCCTCTATTCCTGTTTCTCTGAAAGTTTATGAAATGAACAGATGTTAAATTTTTTTCAAATGTTTTTATAAATTGATACGATCATGTGGTTTTTTTTTTCTTTAGCTATTAATACAGTAGATTACATTCATTGATTTTCAAATATTGAACCAGCCTTGCATCCCTGGAATTAACCCCATTTGATCTTGGTTGGTGTATAATCATTTTTTATATTTTGCTGAATTCAAATCACTAATATTGTGTTAAGGATTTTTACACCTGTAGTCATGAAGAATAATGGTCTGTCCCTTTCTTTTTTTGTTCTCTTTGTCTGGATTTGGTATCAAGTTAATACTGGCTTCATAAAATGAATTGGAAAGTGTTCCCTCCTCTTCTGTTTTCTGGAAGAAATTGTTTAGAAATGTGTTAATTCTTCTTTAAATGTTTAACAGAATTCTCCAGTGAAACAATCTGCACCAGGAAATTTGCGGGGGGGGGGGGGCTTTAAAATGAGAAATTCAATTTCCCTAATAGTTTAAGGCTGTTCAAATTACCTATTTCATGTTGGGTGAGTCTGGTAGTTCATGCTTTTCTAGGAATTGCTCCATTTTCCTCTAAGATTTCAAATTTCTGTGTGTAGAGTTGTATGTGTTTCCTTATTATCCTTCAGGGTTTGTAGTCATATCCCCCCTTCATTCCTAATACTGCGAATCTGTGTCTTCTCTGTGTGATATTTTTGCCAATCTCGCTAGAGATTTGTCAGTTTGTTAATATTTTTAAATAACCAGCTCTTAGCTTCACTGATTTTCTGCATTGCTTTACTGTTTTCTTTTTCATTGATTTCTGTTCTTTATAACTTCCTTCCTTTCTTCTGCTCTTGCTGTGGGTTTATTTTGCTCTTCGTTTTCTAGGCTCTTAGATTATTGAGTTGAGTTTCTCCTCTCTTCTAATGTAAGCATTTAGTGCTATAAATGTCCCTTTCAGCACTGCATTAGCTATATCTCACAGAGTTTGGGTGTATTCTATTTTCATTTTCATTCAGTTCAGCGTCCATTTTTATTTCTTTTGAGATTTCCTCTCTGACCCATGAATTACTTAGGGGAGTATTGTTTAATTTCCAAGATTCTCCTATGATCTTTCTGTTACTGATTTCCAGTTGGATTCTCTTATGGTCAGAGACCATATTCTACATGGTTTCAGTTCTTTTAAATTTGTTGAGGTTTTCTTTGTGGACCAGGATATGTCTTGGTCTGTCTTGGTCTATGCTTCCTAGGCATCTGAGAAGAATATGTGTTCTGCTATCGTTAGGTGGAGTGGTCTCTTGCTTGTTTGATGGGCTTCTCAATTTATGTCAAGTCTTCAAGATCATTAGCTCCCGAAGGTTATGCAATACATTATTTCTCCCAAGGATTTCAGAATAAGTGATCTGAAATCCTGCTGAGTTCACCAAGAAAACCTGTGAAACTTTCTCACTGGTGGCTCTTGTCAGGGGAGTCACTTTCTCTTCCCTGGTATAGGGGTAGGCCTCCCTGAAGGATAGGGCCTTGGATCAGCTAGCAGCTCCACATAGGGCTCTATGAAAATTTTACTCTTACGGTTTCGAGAGATACAACAAGGCATCGTTTTTCTTCTTCTCATCCAGTCTTAGAATGCTAAAGCCAGAGAGAACCTTGGGTCATCACCCATTCATTTGGCAAGTGAAGGCATAAGAGGTTTCAAGAGGCTAATTTAGATTGATTGCTTTTTAAATACTTTTCATGAAATTAACATATGTTAGTTATAGAAATGTGTTAGATATAGAGAAACAAAAATAAGAAAAAAGTTTATATATAATCTTACAACCAAAAAATAATTACTATCATTACTTTGGAGTGTATCTTCCCAATGTCTTCAAAAATGAGATCACACTGTATTACTGTTTTACAATCTCTTTTTTTTTTTTTTTTGCTTTAACAATAGACATGAACATTTTCCAGAATGTTATTTCTGATAGCAGAATGTATTTCCACAGACCAGATGCACCATCACT